TTTGTGCCAATTGCTCGGGTGGAATTGCCGCCATTTTGTTGTTTGGGAAGATGCACCTTGGATGCACCGCTTTTGTCTTGCACTAAGAACGTTTACGTTTTGTTTTCCTCGTCGCCACTTTTGCTGTTGTAGCCATCGATTACTCGAAGCGATTGAGTAACGCCGCATACCACATTAATAAAACACTATTGTTCTACAAAACCTATTGTACAATAACAATAAAGTATGTACTACTCACAACATCATTTCTAGGTTATTTACTACTCAACTTGCATCAATCGACAGAGAGAGAGAGAGAGTTAAGCAATGTTTGGGTATATATCTTAGACCATATAGTACATGGACTGCTATTAGCCCTATGCTTTCAATACAAAATGGGTGGTCACGGATAGAGGGCACTGTAGTCGTGGGTATGTGAATCTCAGGGTAAACTAAAGTCGTATGAACACCACTCGGATCGCGTAAAGAGTAGCTTTTATGGCAACCGCGTAGTACGATACTCTTGATTATCTTCTATACGTCCACAAATAAGAATAGGTTTGCTTTTTTTGGCTTATCTAGGCGATTAATTAATTGACGTTTGTGAATTTATAGGTTGACAGCCCCAAATCGTGTCTCAACGGACAATTTCGGACAGACTCGTTTACCCTGAAACGCACATACCCAGGCGATGTCCTTGACTATATTTTAATTACAATTAGCAGTCCATGTAACTATATGGTCTAAGGTATATATACATAGGTATGACTGGTGGGGGTGAAGCGCAGTTCCCAGTGGCGTAGAGTTTAATCATACCGCAGTCATACACTACAGTATCGGAAGATTTTTACAGAGGAATACAATTTGGGTTTCCACCGCCCAAAGAAAGACCAATGCCGCATATGCATGGCATATAATACTCCCGGAAATGACAAAGACGAAATTAAAGCCAAGTACGAGTTTCATCTTTTAGCAAAAGACAGGGCTCGAACAGAGAAAAGAAGTGACAAAGAGCAAGCAGGAAACTCAAATGGGACTGTGGTGAGCTGCAATTTTGACCTTCAGCAAGTTTTGTTGGCTCCAACCGATCCAACCAATAATGCTTTGTTTTATAAGCAACGATTTAAGTCTTTTAATTTTACTGTATACGACGTCAACACAAAACGAGGAGACTGCTTTATGTGGACGGAAGTACAAGGAAAAAGAGGCAGTTGTGAGATTGCAAGCTGCCTATATCAATACTTTAAAACTCTTCCTCCAATTGTCAATCACATTTCCTGCTTCAGTGACAGATGTGGCGGACAGAACCTAAACAAGTTTGTGCTTGACCGCTATTCAAGAACTACCTAACATAGAAACCATCGACTTGAAATTTTTAGTAGTAGGCCACAGCGAAATGGAATGTGATTCCATGCACTCGGCCATAACTACCGAACAGAAAAGAGTCGGAAAAGTCAGCTGGCCTGCCGATTGGAAAACCATTGCCCGGAGTGCTAGAAGAAAGGGTGACAGGCCGTATATTGTTCATGAGATTACTCATGAACAAATAATAGATTGGAAATCTCACCTGGAGCGGCATATGGTGATTAGGAAAGAGGACGATAATCGCAAACCAGTGGGATGGCAAAAGATAAACTGGCGGAATTTCACAAAAAGTAGACCAATGGTTATACGCTTCAAAGAGAATTTTGTTGATGAATTTAGAATTATGGACTGCCAGAAAAGAACAAGAAATAGTAATAAGAAACAGTCGTTGTCAGATACAATGAAACCGTTGTATAAGTTCGAAATTCCAATTTCAAAGGAAAAGTATGACAACCCAAATTCTTTGTTTACTTTGACTCCTCCTGCACTAGGGCTAGAATATCGGCCATTTTATGAAGGCTTACCATACCAAGGGAACACAAAAAGAAGAAGAATGCATGGATCCTCAGAAAGCGACACAGGTCCGGACGATGAATAGTTTTCATGATTATTGATTATTTCTATACTTTTGTTTTGTGAATAAAAGCATTTCAAGTTGCTTTTGGGCCTTTCTCTACCAATGCAAAAGTGGATAACTTCCATTTAACACATTTTCATGTCAGTGTAACAAATACATATCTCGTTTTCCCGAAAAATGAACAAAATGGCAAAATGCTTCTATAAACATTTTGAAATATATGCCATTTCTAAAACAGTAACATACCCTGAAAATCATTTTAAATGTTTATTTTCAGTTAATAGTTAATTTTATAAGCGTTTTTTGAAGAATGTGATTTTTTAAGTTGCCTAGTTGTAGGACTAAGGTGAAGATATGTTACATAAAATAAACACTAGTTAGGTGAAATAGTCTTGCTTGTTTTAGGTGACGGAGTCCGAAAAACAATTTAAAAAAATCATGTATCTATTGGGGTTGTTCGGAAAGTCATAAGCGATCTGGAGATACGAATAAGCTCTTATCGACCAGCCTTGCCAAGCCATTCGGAGAGTGATGATCCGCGGTTCACATATTGGTCTGTGCTTCCCAGCTGCCCTAGGTATCATGACCAGATTCGCCTTCGTCCACCTGCCGGAGTAAACCCCGGTATCCAGATCTTATTTACGGGTATCGCGACCGCGCTTTGCAGGATGTCCTCGTCGGTGACGGGAGCTGTTTAGTTATCTCCCCTCTAAACCGCCAGCCGCATTCTTGCGTGTGTTGCAAACTGATTCCTAACCACATCCTCGTAGGCCTGGTCGGACAGCTCCTGTTGAGGGCTTTGCTTTCCTAGCTTTTTCAAATTAGCACAAAACTATGGGATACTTGGAGACTTAATTCCTTTAAACTCCAACTTCACGGACACGCCTATTTCCCAGAATTACCATTAATTTTGCAAGCTAAGGTTCTCATATACAAGGTGGCCATTTGAAAACGAAACAGAGCCTATTTTGGGGAGCTCAAAACATTTACGAAAAAATCCTCGGACCCGTCAATTTTTCATCCAAGGGGGAACCATTTTTTTGCTAGTTTCGCCCCCCTGGGGGCAAAGCCATAGCGGGGGTGATAAGTGCCTCCAAAATTTTAAATCGAATGGGGGGGTCGAGTGATACCTTATTTTGAAGGTATTTTTATGTAGATTATTACTCTTAAGATTTTAATCAATTTTATTTTAAGTGCTTAAAGCTAAAATCAATCAAGTAAATGTTGAAAATGTTGGCCTTCGACTTCCATACAATAATACAGGTTTTGTTCAAACCATTCCCGTACATTTTGCAAAACTTCTGGGGTGATTTGACGACATTCATCAATTATTCTTTGTCGCAAGTTCTCTAGCGATGTTGACTGACTAGCATAAATTTTACCATAAAAAAATCTAACGGAAAGTCCGGGGAACGGAGGGGCCATTCAATAGCTCCTCTTCTTCCAATCCATTGTCCTGGAAACGTTTGGTCCAAATATTGACGAACCCTTGCAGCATAGTGGGGTGGCGCACCATCTTGCTAAAATACTAGACGATTTTCCAAGTACTGGTTGTTATTTTCTAGTATCTCCACTAATGCTGGATGAATCGTATTTTCTAATAACTCCAGGTACATCTCTTCTGTTAGATTGCCAGGTACAAAGAAGGGGCCTTCGATATGGTTACCAAAAATGCCAGCCCAAAAATTCGGGACGTTGTGTATGCACCTCACGAAATATTCCGGGATTTCAATCAGCCCAATAGCGACAGTTGTGACGATTCACAGTACCGTTTAGTAAACAGGAACATTCGTCATAGCCACCTACAGATATTAAAAAGAAAAGAAAACAACAAAAAGTACAGTTCAGAATGTACAATAACAACATTTTTTGTATTTATTGTTGTATTAATTGTTGTTATTTAACTAATTTACAAGCATTTTTTTTCATAAGAAAATGTTGACACGTTTTTTACTTTTATTAGGCCCTGTATCGGCTAGGCAAATTAGGAGCGATTTAAAACTTAAGGGTTATAATCCACATAAAAATACCTTCAAAATAAGGTATTACTCGACCCCCCATTCGATTTAAAATTTTGGGGGCGGTCGTCACCCCCGCTAGGGCTTTGTCCTTAGGAGGGCGAAACTACCAAAAAAATTGTTCTCTTTTGAATCAAAAATTGACGGGTCCGAGGATTTTTTCGTTAATGTTTTGAGGTTCCCAAAATAGGCTCTGTTTCGTTTTCAAATGGCCACCCTGTATGTTCTCTATTGCCTGGACTATTTGGTGATTGAATAAAGCAGTATTTCGATTTGATTTCACTAGTATTACTACCCTTGTATCTTCTCAGTTTTATATCGGGAGAGTTAAGATAAAAATTGAATGGCGCTCAACCTTATTGGTACGTAGTAACGAAGAACTTCCGAAGATCATATGCCCAGAATGAACTACCGCTGCGAAGACTCTCACGTTTTTTTGTTTTATTTTCTAACCCTGAGCTAGTCGGCCGTTTATGCAGAGAGTGTGAGATAAAAGCAGCGCCAACATGCCTACTGTTATATCGCGTCTAGGGATATTCCTCTGTTAGAAAATTTATCGTAGGTAATAGTTTTAAAATAAGTAAAAATTATAGTTGAGTAAAGTTGCAGTTCAATAAACATTCAATTGTAAAAATTAATTTTCCTTTAACGTCTTTCCATTTATATGATTAAACGGACCAAATAAGATTATAAAATCATTATCTCTTTAAGTGGTACTGTAATAAAGATCACATGTGCAGTTTTTAAGTACTGCGGTTCATGTAAACCTGCATTAGTGAAGTGAATTGCATTAATACAAAAATTCGGGTCTATATCAAAAGTGTAAGGTACAGTGGCGCTCTTCAAATTTGGTTATTTATTATACCACCCTTATGCAATTCAAAGAACTCCTGAAACGGTTTCGCTTTTATATGTAGAATAAGATTAGATTAGGACCTTTCATCATGTGTTGAACTTTAACGTATCTTTAATTTAGAAATGTAAATTTCGGTTACGCTTCTCGTACAGATGAGGTGCTTTCTATAAAAGTACGTTATAAACAAAATTAAAATTATACTCACCGAATAGTAAAGCGAGTAACCAAATAATGGCGATAGTGGTTTTCGCCCTTCCAGTAGTTGATTTAAACTTTAGAGGGAAACAGATTGCGTACCAACGGTCGATGGAAATGAATGTCAACGTTAAAACGGATACGGCAACGGAAACATTCTGAAAAATAAGAAAAAGCAATTTTATAATATATCAGATCTGTTAAGGGGTATTAAACATGAACAAATAACGATACATATGCGTATAAATTATTGTTGTATGGTGTTAAAATAAATTGCACCGTATGCTTTATCAACTATAGGCATTTCTTATATTGAATTTACTGCGTTTTGTCTGAAACGATACTATGTAGGAAGAAAATGAAATAATTTTGGGATTTCCACTCATGGATATTTTGAGTTTTAGCTTTGAATGTAAAATATTCAAAGGTTTTAGGAAAGAATACTGAAGCATAAATGCCCCGGATTAGCACTCCGTAGTGCATTACCAATATGTAATGGGCTGCCACTGAGGTTCAACTTTGCAGTGATAAACTGTCACTAAGACGCCGTAGAGCGTAAATGTTACTGCTTATTTTTTTTCAAACAGCCTATGCGCATCTAACAGTTCAAAGATTCATCAATATGTGCCCCTGTAAATTTGACGGACATAGCCACATAGGTTTCTCGTAAGAATTCCGAACTATTTACAGTCGTTTCCTGTGCACAGCACGAGATTTGTCTTTTAAAAATAGAATTTGTGCCTTTGTTGCGATGGATTAATTTATTTATGAATTCTCACATAATTTGAACTTGGAAATAGCTATTTATATACCAAGAGATCAAAGTATGTAATTTCCTTCAGTTAAGGGAGGAAATTATACTTTGCTCTCGTGGTATATAGGCTAAAGTTAAAATAAATAAGAATCACGGTGATTCCCATATATATATATATATATATATATATATATATATATGGAATCACCGTGATTCTGATTTTTTGCGCGTCTGCCTCACTTTGGGCATTAGGATATGGCGTCATCAAACGGGGCAGAAGTTTGAAGCCTCCATCTCCTATAACAAAATGCGGAAAGTAGGATCCAGGTTAACGTGCATCGTTTGGGAATGGAAATGTTCCACTTTTAATCTGTTTTCCTAATTTGGATTTTGAAAAAATTCCACTATCTCCCTCTTTTCCATAGGACGCAATATCAACACACAGAAATCTGCAGTCAGCGTCTACTAAAGCCATCAAAACTATAGAAAAGAAATTCTTGTAATTGTGGAATAACGATCCAGAGTTTGGCGGGCACTGTATGCGACAGTGTTTGTCGTCCAAGGCTCCACAGCAATTGGGAAAGTTCCACTTGTTTAAAAAATCTTGAGCAACCACTTCCAATTTTTCTTCTGTGATATCTGGTAAATGTATAGGTTTTAGATCTCTACAAAGTGATCGCAGTGTTTCCTTCAATATTGTTGAAATATAGTTGTGAGCGATTCGAAATTGAAATGCCAGAGATCGTAAGCTTTCATCTGTTGCAAAAAATCTATATATATATATATATATATATATATATAATATGGTGTTTTGGCAAAAGGGCGAATATGCCATTTTTTACGAAATTAGTGTTCTTGCATTTTCTGGTGGACAAATGTGTTCTACACATTTCAGCAAAAGGGCGAACGTTTCTTTTTATTACTTTAAGAATATATTTAAAAAACAAAATAACAACATGGTGCGAATGTTAAATGGACAAAACAGTAAAAGGACGAATGATCATATAAACGCCATGGAGAGGGACTGTCTCGCGTAACTATGACAAGTGACAGTTGTATGTAGACAAGAATGCAGTGTTTTTTCCGGTGATTTTGGCCGTTTTATGTTTTTAAAATTATCAGTTTTCAGTTCTGTTTATTGCAGTGGTAATAAAGTGCACGCTTTAAATGTGAAATAGCAACATAAAAAGGTAAGGCTTAATCGTCTTTTCTATCGTTTAGAAAGACCTGGATATGGATGTTGTACGGCCCTCCTTGCGGTCACCGATGATATCTTCCAAGCTCTTGACAGGGGTAAGGCTACTGCATTAATACTCTTGGACTATTCTAGGGCTTTTGACATGATTGACCATGATACCTTATTGGCTATCCTGCATTATGTCGGTTGCAGTCGAAATGTGTTACATCTTTTTGAGTCATACTTGTCTAATCGATCTCAAGTTGTGGAGTTAAACGGTGTCGTGTCAGATGAACTTGTGTTGTCCAGGGGTGTACCTCAGGGTTCAGTTCTAGGGCCATTATTATTTACTATATACACTAGTCAGTACCTTGGTGGACTCCAGGAGGTCAGTACGCATCTACACTTTATTCCGTATAACTTCCGTTGCACGTCATCATTTTCTATGACGTAACTACTATGCAATAATGCCAAATCTAGTTTTGAGCGATTTAGGTTATGTCACTTGTCAACAAGACAGTGCATTCTTTGTGTGAACAATCCACACCTTAAATAAAATAAAAACAATTTTTATTAAGTATTCATTTCGTTAATTGGAACCACAATATACATACAATATACTTTAATAACTTATGAACTGTACAAATGTAGCATCTCTTTTACAGAGAAAGTACTAAATATAAAATTTTACAGGTTATGTGATGTGATGGATGATATTCAAATTAATCGGAATCATCGGAACTGCTTTCGTGTTCAAAGTTTATAATAATAGTAGCAACGTTTTCAAGATCTAATTGCTTTTCTCTTTTGTACCACTCGTGTATTACAGTTTCCGTATCCTTAACTGAATTGCGCCACGTTTCGGAAGTTATCCATTGTAGTGACTCTTGTCACATGTTTATGCAATTTTCAATGCTTCGTCCATCTCTACCAATGTGTCGATTGTAGTAATTTTTCGCTATGCCCCAAATATGTTCGATAGGATTACAAACGCGATGATAGGGTGGTAATCGTAAAACGAAGTAACCGTATTGCTCAGCTAAGTGGTCAATGCCTTATGCGGTACATTTTAGCTGATTTAATCCTAAAAGTATCAACAAGATGTATATAACATCAAATAATTTGCGAACGTACTTACTGTGCAACCTTTTGAACAGTTCGGCTGTAAAATCATTTTCGGAGAACTGCACATTATGATCACCTGACCACACTTTAATGTTGTCTGTTTTCCCGTTATCGAACACAATTACTGGCGGGTTATCTAAATTCTTCAGTAATTTCTCTTCAAACCAATGCACAGCGAAAGACGTAGAAAATAATCAAAATCAAATCAAACGAAAAGTAAACCAAAAGCAACCTGTCAAATTTACAAATTTAAACACGACAACATAGCGAAATGCTACCAATTGTTGCGGCTAAAATAAACTACATGCTTAATGTGTTGCCTAATAAACGAAAGTAAGTTTACGTTGGTACGTCGTTTTCTTCAGGTAATGACGTGCAACGGAAGATATACTGAATAGACCGTATATGCTGACGATACACAAATTTATTACGCTTTTGATGTCGCAAATGTAAATTCCTCAATTAATGCTATCAATAGGGTCGTTTCAGGACAAGCTGTAGATCACTGCTTAAAACTAAACCCTAGTAAATCTCAATTATTAATATTTAGTAAAAATAAAGATTTTGAATACTTGAGTGATAAGCTGAAAATAAGTTTAAATGGAGTGGACTTAAATTCTGTTAATTGTGCAAAAAATTTGGGAGTTGTATTAGATACCAAATTGCGTTTTAAATCACATGTCTCTAAAATGATTAGTAAGTCGTTTTTAGTCTTAAAACAAATATATTCTCAACGTCGTGTACTTAGCCGTGCATTAAAGATTACACTGTGCGAATCATTAGTACTTTCGAACTTTAATTTCTGCGATGTCGTCTATGGTCCCTGTCTCGATTCTTATGATAAGCTTAGGGTACAAAAAATTCAAAACCAATGCCTTTGTTTTATATACGGAATTCGCAAGTACAATAAAGTCTCACATTTATTGAAGCGATGTAAAGTGGTTAAATATGTCCAATCGAAGGGTACATCATGCACTTTATTTTAAGGTGATTAAATACAAAACCCCTCCATATTTGGCGGAACGCTTAACATACCGCACAGATGTATATAATCTGAATGTAAGAAAAAAGTTTTATCTTAGGCCTCCTAGGCACATAACATCACTGTTTGAGAGGTCTTTTTCTTATAATGTTTGTAAGTTATGGAATTCTTTACCAGATAACATCAAGAACATCTCCTCCTTACCTCTTTTCAAATCTGCTAGTAAACAGTACCTACTACAATCTCAATAAGCCACATTAACTATCACTATCTCGCATCAATTGTTAGCAATCTGGACGTTTCGTGAACCATCCTATTTATATCGTAGATTTTATTTCTTTCCTCTTTCTTTCTTCTATCTATATTGTAAATTTTATTTTCTTCCTTCCCGTTGCTGATTTTGGTCCAAGTGGAAGACCAGGAGCGGCGCTTGTGCCTGTCCCTGAACTTGCACCTATTGTCACTCATAAATGTATTAACAAAGAAATGTTATTTATTTGCTGTTTGTTCGGTTGACAATAAAGACATTTATTATTATTATTATTATTTACCCATTCCCCCTTTTGTTAGATACTTTTTGAACATGTCGGGTAGAACGAAAACAATTATGGCGTTGGTACTGTTAACAGGAGATAATCCTACCGACGATAATTCAGACAGAGACAGTGATGAACATAATATTTATGAAACTGAGGTGAACATCGATACACCTTTTACTGATTTGGATACAATCAAATCCAAAAAGAAAAGAGAAATAAGGGTGAAAATTATACCAATTACAAAGGAATAGCAAAAATAGGGCGTCGGGTTAAACCAAATCCTTGCTTGGACGGAAAATGCCCAAATAAATGTATAAGATTTGATGAAAAAACCAGATTACATTTGTTCAAAAAATATTGGGAATTGCCATACCAGGGTAAACGAGATTTTATAGCATCAAATATTTCAGTGCGAGATGTTAAGAGACGTCGCGTGAATATTACAGAAAGCAGAAAAGACCTGTCAAGAGATTACTTCTTACCATTTTTAAATGAAAAAATTTTGTCGAAAATTTTTTATGAGTAGGTACATGAGATGTTACAGATAAGCTTTTACGACACACAGAAATTCATAAAAGTGA